TTTTAAGATTTAAATGTAACTAAGAATTGTGGTTCATAAGACTCTTAGCTACAATTAACCAGCAAATAGCCAGAAATGAAGGTATGGTGCAAATGGTGGACAGCTCACCCTGGTAAAGAAAAATGAAAGGAAGAGGTCCTGAATTCAAGCCTCAGTATCAGCACAAGAAAGAAAATAAAATAACATAATATAATAAAATAAATGTTCAGAACTTATAAATAAGCAAAATGCCATGCATAGTCAACTGTGGATTTATGTGACAAAAAGAAATGAATCTGTAGAAGATAGATCTGAGCAAATTATATGATTTGAATTAGATAGCTCATCATTTAGAAAGACAATGAGCCTGTGGGAAAAAGAAAAGTGATGTTGGGAGTGTTTAAGGTGTAATATAACCTAATCAAAGTACAAAAAAAGGAAACTAAAGAATCAGATGCAAGATAGTAATAAGAAGATAATACTGAACAGGTGCCCAGAAGTTGACATGACTTCACAAATACAGAAAGCAGGCAGGATGAAAAGAAACTTAAATGTACTTCAATGAAACTACATCAACAAAATAAGAGAACTTTAGAGAAAAAAAAACCCAACGGATCACCCATGATTTCTGAACAGAAACAATAGACTTCTTAGACAATGTAACACTATCTTCTGAAATCATGTTTTCAGACTCTAAAAGGCTTTTGACTGACAACAACAATCCTTCACCAAAGAGACTTTTTGAGTTTCCTTTTGGAATATTTGTTATTTTGAGACAGGTCTCAAAATGTAGCCCAAGCTGGCCTTGAACTCATGCATGATTCTCCAGCCCCAGATTCCTGAGAGTTGAGATTACAAGCATATGCCATGGTGTCTGGCTTCACCAAAAGAACTTTCTAAAGATGATCATCAGGAAGAAAGTAAAGACCTCCAAAGGAAAATGTTAGATGGAAAAAGAATGACAATAAATTTCATTATAATAATTTATAAAGTTATTAATAATCACTATTACTTGAAAATCAATAGCTAGTTCAGCACTTCATGGGCATCAGGCCAGAGAGAAGGAATAGATATTAAAGGCATTTCTTCTACTGGATTGTCCTGGACACCCACTTTGTAGACCACTGGAGTACACTGTATACATATACCACTATTTAGCTAGGTAAGAGGGTACTGGCTGCAATCACTTCAGGAGTCTTGTTAGAACTTACATGATTCAAATCACAATGGATTTGTAAAGTCTAGGAGAAAGGGGAAAGGACACAGCTGTCCCTTGTATTTCTTCTGTCCCTCAGACAGAAAAAAATAACATTTCAGAAACACAGTTAAGCAAATACTCCATTCTTCCTCATAAAGTATATGGTATTGGTGTGTATGTTCTTTTACAATCTCTAGGCAAAAACAAGACAAACAAACCACCTCCTAGAAGCAAGCAAAAGCATGAAGGGAACAGTGGAAGATGTGAGATTCATTACACCTTGGTCAGGTCACTTAGCTCTGTGAAAGCTGCTGCTTTGAGTTGTAATTTGTGATGTTTACCACTGCACATGTCAGTAACACAGTTTGATGATAAATGAAACAATTCAAAAGGGGGTGTTACGGCACTGATCTCTTACATAACTCCCAGAAATCACTTCAGCTAGGGGTAGGCACTGACAGTACAGAATAAAGGAGATAAAGTCAGGCAACTGAATTGCAGTGTGAAGGGGGCTGTAAAGTCAGGGATACACAAGGTGCAGAATAAGTAATAATGGTAGTTGCCAGAGGTGTTTGCCAAAGCCAGTGATAAATGTATGCTGTCCTTTTGCTCTTTCATTTTACTAACAATGACTTCCATCAGACAAATCACAATGGCCACCTTCGTTACATCAAGTACTTCAACATCAACATGAATTTCAGATTTACCAAGATTCACAATTAAGGGATTTTTTTTTAACTAAAGGTTTTCAAACAATCCAAGAAGTACTCAAATCAACTTTCTTCCTATTGAACCAAATTTCCACACAGAAAGAGCACCATGGCACTTTCGACCCATGAAATGAGCATAATCAGAGTTTTCCCAAAACGTTCAAGTATATTTTGTTTCACTGAAAAATATTTAGAGAAATAGCAATATATTATCTGTATCCATGCTGAAATTATCCCAGAATAACCTAACAGATTTCTTTTCTCAAAGAAAAGCAGTTCTCACACAGAGAGATCAGTATTTCTTTCTTTCTTTTTTTTTTTTTTACATTTTGAAGTGTATCCTGACACTGGAAAAAATAGATACATATTCCCAAGGACACAAAATCCAATTATGTTATATGCATAAAAATATTTGTATTAATCATAAGTGACTATTCGATTCCAAAGTTTTTGTTTAAATTATTGTATTTGTTGACTTTAATTTCTAAGAGTAATAAGGTGAATTATTGATTTTGATATTACCTAGAAGTTTTTGAGTTATATAAATATAACTTTATATTTATATAAATATTTGTTTATTTACATATATTTATATATAAATATATAAACAACTTTTTCACTGTTTTTAGATCACTTAACTGAAAATGACTACCCCAAATGCAGCTTTTGACTGTCATGTGGCACTGACATAGGCTAACTGGCAAGTTTGGTACTTTATTTCTCAGATGAGAATTAGGAATGGATAAGGCCATTTACTACTAACTAGACAATAAAGGGAAACTAATGGTGATTTTACAGCCACCAGTAGTAGCCCCTTTGATAAACACCTGGAACACTTACAAACTAATTTATCTCTATTTACACACTGTTTTCTACTGTGTATTTTTTTGGGATTAAGTTTATCTCTTCTCTAAGCTCTATGAAAGGAGAAGCCTTGTCTAAATACTTCTGCATCCCATTCCAGCTCAAAAAGCAGAGCTGAGTGCATCCTTATTGATTAACAGCCACAGTATGGAAGATATTTTCCAATTAGAAGATAATTAGGATGTGGTAAAGTGAGCTCAATGGAGACTTATAAGACAGTAACAAGAATGTAAAAGTGACTTTGAAATAACATGTTCAGAGACAGCAAATGAGTTTATATAGCAGCATAGTCATTTTCAGAAAGTACTCCCAACAAAACTTATCACACTATTATACTTTAGCTTTAAAATCTTCTTTCATTGTGGTGGTTTTGACTTTACATGCAATACTACATTTTGTACTATTCCTTTTTTTGTGTTTCTATAATACTATCTCATGTCAGTATAAAGTCACTTACTCAGAGAGTGTTAGCTAAGACAAAATAAAAACAATGTATTCTTCCCACTCCTGTGAACTGCTGTCTTTGATTTTCCCTAGGTCTTTTGGAATGTTGCTAATAGAAACAAAGGTTATCATTCACACTCCCAAGTGACAAGATTTTTTTTTTTTAATTCTTGTCCAAAAAAAAAAAAAGTCCTGTACCAGCTTGGTTTTAACATTCAACTGTAACAAAATGCTTCCGTCTTTCTGACTTTTTCCAATCTCTCAATCACAATTACACACACAAAACAAGTTGTGATGAAAATTAAGCTATAATGTCTGATGGTGGCATCCTAACAGTGTCTTTATCATTTTAAACACATGACAAAGGAGAAGACAAAAGCAAACTCAAACATCTTCCTAGGTTTTCTAACGATGGTATCCTACTGGAATTTCATCTCCTATCAAATAATATAACTGTTAATTTTCTGCATTCCCCTACTCTCTAAGATAAAATGTGTTTCTACCCCCCCACCCCTTTATCCCTGGGAGAAGTGAGCTAGTATCTTTTCTTTTATCTTTTGTCTAAGAATGTCAGACCATTTCTTTATTTTTATTTTCCCAGCTCCATGAAATCATTGGTACATACAACAAACCCTGGAGGGCTGATGAGTTAACTAGACACACACCAGAGAGCTCTGGGCAGCCAACCAAAACTTAGTATCCTTCTAGCTCCTTAAAACTAGTCAGACAATCAGTCAAGGCCCTATAGAACCTTGGGGTCCCTTTACAGGTCATGGGGATTTAAAAATAAATAAAGCCCTTTTCCACAAACGAACTTGCACTCGCTCCCGTACACCCAGTTGTACTTTTCAGAAGGCACACAACTAATGATTCTATTCATGTTCTTTTTAGTTTTCAAGAGTGCAAACATCAGACATGTGCATAAATAAATAACACTCCGGAAGGCAATTTGTTCAGACCTGGAGAACCTTTGGCTTTGAAGAAATGCACCTTGTGACACTTCAAGGAAAAGGAGAGATATTTACAATAAAACCTTCCCGGAATTGTTCCCACTACCTTGAGGGAGAGAATACAAAGCCAGTGGGCTGCATGAGGCTTTGGAAAAACATTTTGCTTTAATCCCAGGGCCCCAGGGGCTGTGGGTGCAATTCTCCCCGACTCATCTCTCCTAGACTATCACGGCAGTATAAACTCACACACATCACACACCACACACACACACACACACACCTCGGCTTCCATCCCCGATCCTTCTCCCTTCGGTGCTTATACTAACCCCAAATGTGGACAAGATGCTACAAAAAGCAAAGTCATGGGGCAATGCGGGGGGGGGGGGGGGGGGGAGACAAGCTGTTTGCCCGGGATTGAAGGATCTAGAACAGCAAGGTGTAAAGAGGTAGCTGCATTCACTTGGGTGGCAATGGCAATACAGTGGCAGGAGTCAGGCCCTCCTGGATGCCCATTCTGCCACCTCCCCCCCCCCCCGCCCCCCTGCCCTCCATCACACCCCGCGCTCTCCGGGAGGACCACCACCGGGCAGAGGGCGCCACTGACCGCTCCCCACCCGCACCCTAGCGGGGAAGGCAGCGAAATGGGGCTGGGATGAATAGAGGCTGAGCGGTGGGGTGGAGGTCCCGCCTCGCTCCAGGTGGGGAGACCCTGCCGCTGGGTGCCCGCGCGCGCGCGCGCGCGTGGGGAGGGGGGAGCGGCCCGGGCGCGGGAGGAGTGGGGGTGTCAGGGGAGGGTCAGCGCCCCGGGCGCTGCGGCAAGGTGCGGGGAGGGGGGGGGGGGCTCCGGTTACTCACATTCTCCGTGTCCCGCTCGTTCACCGTCGGCAATGGCGTCCGGGCCGACATCTTGTGCGGGCGGCAGGGTCGGGGTCTAGCCGGTCAGGCGGGGGGGGGTGCGGGACCCCCCGAGGTTGGAGAGGGAGGGGAGGGAGGGGGTGCGGCAGACCGGGTAGCGCGCCGACGCCGAGTCCCAGGCCGGGGCCGAGCGGCTCCCGCAGGCCGCGGGGCGGTGCAACAAGCCGCCGGGGCGGGGGAGCCGCGGCCGAGGACGCGGAGGAAGAGGAGGGGGAGCCGCTTCCCGCGGCGGCGCCGCGGGGGGGGGGAGTGGGGAAGGGAGGGTGGGAGGGGAGCGGGAGGTGGGGGGGACGGCGGGCCGGACGAGCGAGGCCGGGCCGGACGCAGCGGGGGCACGCTGGGGGCCGAGAGGCCGCCACCCCCGGGGAGGGTCGCCCCACACCCCGCTAGGCGCTCCCCCGTCCGGGCTGAAGGTGAAGCCGGCGACTCCAATCACTGCCTGGCGGGTGACGGAGCGCGCGGCCTTGACAGCGCCGCCCCGCGCCGCGCCTCCGCCTCAGGTGTGCGGTGCCGCCCGGCCCCCGCCGTAGCCTCAGCCACAGCCACGCGCGCGGGCCCAGCGGCGGCGGCGTGCCCACCCCGGCGGCTCTCAACTGGGTCCGCGCGGCCGCCGGCGCCGCCGCCGCGCCTCCCTCCGCCCGCGGAGCCGCCCGAGCCGGCTGCGCGTGGAGCGGCGGGCCCGGCGCGCGGCGCCCCGACACACTTGGCGGCCGGCGGCGGGTGGGCGGGCGCGCGCCAGCCGAGGGGCCTCTCCATTCATCCCCGGCTTGAGGATGCGGGGCCGCCTCCGCCCGCGACCCGCCCGGCTCCCGCCCGGCAGCCAACGCGGCCCGGTTTATTTTCGCATCTCTCCCTAACCGCGGGGTGCGCGATCTTCTCCCAAGCTCCGATCGGGGTGTGGGGGGGGGGGGTCCGGTTTGGGGGGAGACCGGGAAGCTGGTGCAAAATCAAATCAGTATGTCCCCCTTCCCCCCACCCCGCCTTCTTTATTGTCCTTGTCATTGGTGGAAGAATTGGGGACCGTGCGTCGCTGGATCCTGCACCCTTCCCTCCCCCCTCCCGCCCCCCATTCTTAAATTCTCCTCCGCCTCCCCGTGGTCGGGCTTGTTCCGTGCCTGGCTGAGCTGGAGCTCTTTTTCAGCCCCATTTCCAGGGAGTCTCTGGGTTCAGGGTCACCTTTATACTTGGACAAAGGGTACAAAAGACCCCCTCCCTCCCCCCACCCCCCTCCCCCGTCTGCCCCTCAGCAGGCTGTGGGAGGGATGGTAAGAGAACCGGGTCAGGCCCGGGGATCAGCGTCCTCTCTCCGCCCCCCCCCCCCCACCGACTTCCTTGGGAATGAGGCAGGTGGACCAGGTCTCCCTGCAATGGGTGACACCCAGGAGTCACGACACCCACAACGGGCTTATCGTCACTTCCTGGGACATAAGGAAGTGCCATTGAGGGAGGGGAGAGAGCTGTTTCTGATCTGGGCCATGCCGTTTGGGTCCTTCCTCGCCCTTCCACTAGCTGCTACTCATTCTGGCCTTCAGGTATCCCCCCCCACCACGTGGCCAAGAACCTTGGGTAAGCAAGGCTGCTGTCCTCAGTCTTGTTCCCGAGTTGGCATTTTGCACAGTCTGTGGGACAATGGCCTTACATCTCTTTGTTCCACTTCTTTCCAGTATCTCACATCCTCTCAAGAACAGAAAGAAAGATAAAAAGGAGCAGTAGATAGGAAGGGATACGTTTTGTTGAGCAACTTATACATGCCTCCAATGGGAATCTTAGGATGGTGGCAAATTCTTCCTCTCTCTCCAGATTCATCCATTCCAAGGAAGACTTGCTGTACCAGATGGTTTTTATCCTGACTCGTTAAAGGTTCTTTCTGAAGAGTTAACACTTGACCCTTAAACACAAAAACATGGGCCCCAAGAACCTAAAAATAGCAAAATACAAATTGTCTGAGAGGAAAAAAAAGTCACACTCAGTGTGCAGTCACTTCTAGGACACCATCTGTGTGTTTATTTCTCTAGCATTTCATCTTGTAAACACTGCAGAGTTTTCACGAAGCAAATAAAAATCCCAAGATCCCATTGCCACTGGTCACATAACACTAGGGCTTTGAAGCTGTTAGGCTGTATCTAGAGTTATGAGATGTAAGTGGGAATACCACCCTGTTAGAGTGCTTCTTCAGAGATCCTGAATCATCAAGACATAGTGAAGTTGTCTGGCATGCACTTGTACCACTGCTGCCTAGAGGGGCTGCTTTGTACCCTGTCCAGTACAACACTGACTATCGAGTGTCTGGTGTTAATAACAGTACCTATGTTAACCTGCAAGGAAACAAGTTGCTCTGAGAAAGTGGCTAGCTTCTTTGGAATATGAATTGTTCCTTCTGCTGGTAGCTTGGATTTCAGTCAGCATGTCCTGTATCTTTACCCTTGTAGTGACCCTGACAGGCATATTTATTCCCATTTGACAAAATTCCACTGAGTGGACTGACTGGAGATCATCGATGTACCAGGTTAATGAGATACAGAAGAAGATAACTGGAATATGTGCCGTGTTCAATGTGTACCAGTCACAGACCCCTAAGTTCACCCATGGAAGGCATAAAGGTTAATTAGAGACAGAGCTCAGAGGAGAGCCCAGAATTCAGACACTGTGGCTTTTAGCCACACAACTCTTTTAGCTGTATTTGATACACTCTGCTCACATATTGAAATTTGCCAAATATTATATGATGAATAAGAGCTACTTACCTTTTAAACCAATACTATTTTTTTTTAACAACAGAACCACATTCAAAAATGGAATCACGGATAACTGAAATCCATAATTTGAACAAAATAAGCAAAAAACAACTCTAAACAAAAATTGGTATTCAAATTATCTTTAATACAATTTAAATTTCGTATGTAATGAAAGTATACCTAAGTTAGAAAATCATTTTGTAAAAAGAAATTGTGTGCCCCTGTGTGAACTCTTCACTCTAAAAGTGACATAAGGCAGCGCTGTGGTAGTGTCAATTGTTTAGCCCTAGTCCGTAATCATAAAATAAAATAATCATAAAAATGACTGTGAGCTTCTTGCAGCTGTGACTGGAAAAATAGCAACGGGAATATATTAAGGCTTTGAGTCATTTTCTTTAGGGTTTTTAGCTAAATGTGGCAATTCAATTTAGAGACTTTTAAGTATTAGAGCAATAAAAGCTCCAGAAGAAAACTAAAGTTCTAACAAAACAAAAGCAAAATTAAGATCTACAAGATGCCAGACCTACACTAAAATATGGTAAATGATCATTGTCTACAATCAGCCCTAAGAAGTAGAATTTAAAAAAAAACCATATTGTCCAATATCATGACATACAGACTACATGGGGCTCTTGAACACTTGAAATGTTGTTTAAATACAAATTTGATTCCATGTTTGGAAATGTTTAACATACGTTTGAAAAAATATTTTTATACATTTTCTAAAAAAAAATAAAGGTCACGACAAAATGTACAGGACACTATGTTGAAAATGAACTTTATAATGTCAGGGTTGGGGGGAGGCCAGGGGGAGTTGGGGACGTGGGGAGGGAAGTGATAGAAGGGGGAAAACAAAGGAGGAGGTAATAATGCTCGCTATGAAATGTACTCATTACCCTACTCATGTAACCGGAACCCCTCTGTACAACATTTTACTATATATATATATATATATATATATACATATAAAGATCAAACTTTCTGATGAAAATTTATCAATGAATTAGAATAGTAAGTACAAAGTACAGTATGTTTTCAACGACTTAGAAGGAGAAAAAAGAATGTAAGGTATCTCATTCATAAATACTGATGACATGGTAAAATGTCAATAGTTTCATATATTTAGCTAAATAAACTACAATATTAAATCTAATTTCAGCTTCTTGTTTTAAAATTTTTAAGTGTAGATCCTGAAGAAATAGAAACTTGCATATGTGGTTTATAACATGTCGATTGGATAAGACTTTTCTGTGAAGTCAAAATTGAGTCTAATGACATTTAATTTCTGAAGTATCAAAGGCCTTGCTTAGAAGCTATTGGTAGTGTCCAAGAAACATTTATTGGGTACCATTCTATCAGATGCCAAGCTGAGCTGTTCCAAGAGAATATCCTTCACCTAATAGTTACCATCAGTTAGCATTATAGTCTTTTTAAAGGGCTCAGTGGAAAAGATGTTTAAACTATACAATGAGCATTAACAGATTGTAGTCACTTGTAAACAGAGAAGTGATCAATGTGACAGATGCAACAAAGTTCATAGTAAATTCATAAACCCTCACAGTCATTACACCACATCTTTTAAATGTATTTAATGTCTGCTAGGGTTGGACAGTCAATACTTATTTACTGAGGCTTTGTTTCTGCTGTTGCAGGCTGTGTTTTGGAGGAGGGAATAGTACTGTGGGTTGAACTCAGGGCCTCAAGCTTGCTGAGCAGGTGCTCTGCTGAAATCAGCCCTCTTTCTATGTTAGTTATTTTTCATATATAGTCTTTTTGCACAGGTCTAGCCTCACACAGTGATTCTCTTACCCAAGCCTCCTGACAACTAGGACCAAAGGCATGTACACCACAACTGGCTTATTTGTTGAGGGTCTTGCTAACTTTTCACTGGGCTGAATTGAAACTTTGATCCTCCCAATCTCTGCCTCTCTCATGGCTGGGATTATAGGCATTCACCAACCATGCCTGGCACTAGAGGCTAATCTAATTTTCTACTGAGCCACCCAAGGAAACTATAGGATAAATAGCTCTGTATGGTAACAAAGAGCTTAAGAGAAACATGGCTAGTGCTCATTGGGAAACAATCATATACTTTTATAAATAAACTAGACTCCAATTGCATTCCTATGGTTAGCAAGGACACATTTTTATTATGTGTCAACAATCACCACCCAAAATGTGGCAAGGGCTCCAAGAGAAAGATATATTTTGAAAGCTGTAAGGCTGTTTCCACCTCTTGTGATATATATTCCTAAAAGAACAAAGGAAACCTTGTGATTATTTAAATGACACCTTCATAGCCATCAGTAGACACACAGATGGGTCAGCTCAACGGACTT